AATCTGTTCAATAACCATGTTATGCTAAATGCAGGGTTCAGAATTTGTACTTCAATTCATGGCTGACTCTTCCAGAAACAGCTGGATACATGTTTACATTTTTTATTAAAATAATGACCTTTCCATAGAAAACTAAAATAAAATTGACTTTTCCCACCATGACTAATCAAAGAATAATCCACTCATATCATACTCAACTGGGCAAATTCTAGACAACTAATTTCCCCTGTGGTATAAAGCCCATGAGATATTGATTATTACCACAATTAAGTGTTAACAGAAAGTATTCTCCATAATACCATGCTATAAATAATTATTCCCTTCCAACAGGCAGCTTGCAAAACAAATAAACAAAAATCTATGATTCACAAAGGATTAACAAATCAGATCTTGGCATGTATGATAGAAACCAGTACTTTTTGCCTCTCAAAGAAAAATGTGTTCTATAAACTTTCAAAATATATTTTAGTTACTAAGAAAATGCATGATAAACACTTGTAGCCTCAGAATAATGCACAATACATGAGATTAACAGTGGTTACCAATGGAAAAGGAAATTGGTGAGATGGGGCAGTCATTCTTTTTCTTTGTACAATATTTAAAAGTTTTCCACAGTGAACGTGCATCATTGTGGAAATTTTATTCTAATTTTGCGAGAAACAGCTGCAGTCGCTGAGAAGTTTAATGCTTAAATAACAGAACCATATCTTTTCTGACAGTATGCTATCATAAATTCACAAATACAACACAATACATCAAATAGTTATAAAACATAAATGTCGACTTCAGTTGGAATGTGTGAGTCACAAAAATCTATATTTAAGCCTTGTACACACTGAAGTAAACACCATGTGACCTGCAGAAGACCTTTTTAAAATTCGACAATATTATTCTTAAGTTTTTGCATTAGAAATCTGTTTCTTAATCAGGACTACATACATACGCCCACGTGTGGTTTGAGATGCCCTCTGTACAGTCCTGAACAATCTTATTTTGAAAGCAAATTTACGTAAAGCACCAAGCAAGTTGTAACATCACAACTTAATGTGAGGAGCTGGCAGATGAACGATTCAATTAAGTGCACAATTAGGTGTGTGCAATTTTTCTGGTTTAGACAATATAAAAACAAATATGTCCCGATGAGCTGAGCACACTGGACAGCAGAGTAAACTAGCAAGGTGTACACACCAGTTACACCAGTGAGCAGTGAGCTACTGAGGTGTGACATCCAGTTGTGCAATCATAGCTTTATCTGATGTGCAGTAATTCTGATCAACAGTAGTGGTGACATGAAAGAACTCAGGCTTTCTTTAAATTTATCTTTAACTTTCAGATCAGTGGTTACACTGTAGAACCACATTTTAACATTCTAGAGTGACTGTGTAGACAGTACTTGCTAGCTAGGTAAAAGTTAACAAATGTAATGTGCACTAGGCAAATTGGCATTTTCAAACTCAACTCAAACCATCCCAAATATCTAACAATGTCAAAAAGACAGCATGACGGTTCAGCTAGACATGCCCATAGCTTCTCAAATCTACAAAGACCTTGGCAGAACACTGAGGACATTCAAGTCTGGGTCAAAGCCCTTGTTACAAGCATGCTCACATGTTGTATACCTATGTAGCAAGTAAAAGAAGCCTTGTACAACAGCTGGAAACCTCTCAACTTTTATGCATTAGAAACAGCAAACATAGTAATGAAATATGATATATACAAAAAGACTGAGGGAGTTTCACTTCCAAAAATGACAGGCTAAATAATTCAGACCAACCCTTCCAATGGAAATAACTTAAAAAGCTAGAAATAATATTTCAAATAAGTCTGGAAAACTAAAAAGAAGTAAAGACATATGAGACCAAATGCAAGAGAAGAAAGAAATTCAGAGAGATTTGTCCATATTTTAGGCCACTTTCTCCCTGAAATATCAGCCCACTTAACAAATGGCAGCTGAGACAGTGAGAAGCTAAACAGTTTTTAACCGATATGTGGGGTCCAAGGGGTAAAAACTGAAGTTGAGAGCCTTTCCAAGGAAGGGGCTCCCTGGCTGAACTTCCCCTAACCCAGCTCCTAGCCTCTGCGTTGGAATCCTGAAGTTCGATACGCTAACAGTACAGGTCAACCAGAAACAGTTAAAACCTGGCACTGAAGTTCAACATTGAAATAGCTCAACAACAGCTCTGACTGGTGTGGCTCAGTTGGCTGGGTGTTGGTCAACAAAGCAAAAGGTTGTTGGTTCAATTTCCAGTAGGGGAACACGCCTGGTGTGCAGGCCTGGTCCAGGTTGGGGCACATGCAAGAGGCAGCCAATAAGATGTTTCTCTCTCACATTGATGTTTCTCACCCTCTCTTTCTCCCTCCCTTTCCCTCTCTCTAAAAGTAAATAAAATCTTTAAGGAAATATCTCAACAACAAATAATAAGGTGATCTATAACTGCTATGGCCTCTAACCTACAACAAAAAGCAAGTATGTCCTCTCACACATAATAATTATCAAATTATCTAAGCAATTTTTTTGCAGAGAATTAAATATATCTTCAGTCACCAACAGAAGATCCCATTAAGAGGGTTTAAAAATAAGAAACAGTTTTAGAATGGGAGATGGTATTTGCAACACGTATAATTGACAAAGTGCTCATATATAAGATATAAAAAGACCTCCTACAAATCAATAACAAAAAGACAGGCAACCCAATAAAAAACTGGCCAAAAAAGCAAACTGATATTTCAAAAGAAAAAATAGCAAATAGCCAACAAACATATGAAAAAAAAGATGCCCATCATCTTTAGTAATCATGAAAATACAAATTAAAACCATGATGAGATACCATAAACACCCAACATAATGGCTATTACTGAAAAATTAAATAGTATCAGTGTTGGAAAAGATGAAAGCAACACCAATTCTCATACACTGATAGTAAGAGTGTAAATTAGGGCAGCCACTTTGAAAACCTGTTTATGGGAAACTGCTACATTGGAAGGCGCTGAGCACTCACACTCCATGTTAGTAACAACAGAGATGCGTGCACAGATGCACTGAAATAGTAAGATCATCCACCACAGCATTATTCATAACAGCCCAAAATTTGAAATAATTCAAATATCCATCATAAAATTTCACAATATATTACAGTATATTATACAATGGAATACTAAAGAGCAGCAAAAATGAACTAACTGCAAATACATGACACAACACCCAGAGATATCGCAATCATAATGTTTAGTAAAAGAAACCAGACACACACACAAACAAACCCTTGTCCTGAATGACTGCATTTAATAAAGACTAAAACAAGCAAAAGCAATCTAAAGGGTTAAAAGTTAAAATAATAGTCCCCTTTAAAAAGGCAAGAGTTACTGATGGGGAAGGGAAATAAGGAGGCTTCTTGTGCGCTGGTAATGTTCTAGTTCTAGATGTGAGTGGTGGCTACATGGGCATGTTCACCTCACAATAATTAATCAAAATATACACTGATTTGTGTACTTTTATGTGTGTGCATTATACCTCCAAATTTTAAAAATTAAAAAAAAAGAAAAAAGGCAAAGAAAAAACTTCAGCAGTTTCCATTGTCAAGTAACAGATCCCACTCTAGAGTTTATGGAAAGAGCCAGAAGATCATTTAATAGAGGACCTTAGAACTACATTCTTGAAAGTGTGCATTCAGCTCCTGTTGAGATAGTTCGTAAAACTGAGAATGGCATAAATTTCTTCCTGTGTGAACTACTACAATTAAGAAAGTCATCAATCTATTAATCTCAAAAAAAAACCTTCATTAGAAGTATATGATATTTTAGATATTTTAGACAGGTACAGTGTAAATTAAAGGTGACCTTGGTGTGTCTGGGAAAATCTAGGACTTCATGTAAAATAAAAAAATAAGTACCCTATGTGCTGATCACATATTAGATGCCACACCATCACACACTAACTGAAAACATTTGTGTACTTCAACAAAAGACAGGCATTGTATCCTCACCTCTCTGGGCACACCACAAAGAAATCAGCACTAAAAACTCAAAAGGAAGGTGCTTTTATGTGGTCAGGGGCTTATTCTTATTTTTGAATAGGCAGTAACTGAGATGATCTCTGATAATGCAGCATATCCATCTCTTAGCAGATGCAGCCAACAAATTCAAACTCAAAAAAAAAAAAACTTAACATGTCTATGTAAGGAACTGTAAACACAATTAACAACTGGAGAAAAATTATCTGCTTTTACTGGGAAACTTCCAGTTTGAATAAAATGTTAAGAAAAAATAATCTGCTAACTTTTTTAGTCTTGAAAAAGCAAAAGGTACTGTGGGAAATGAATGAATGAATAGACATTGTTCCTGAAGTTGATAAATTTGCAACAGGTTCATGAGAATATCTATTATTTTTCTCTTTTTTAAAAAAAACACAGATGATGCAAAGAAATGGACACTGTATGTTCTTTATTTTTTAACCTTAATTCCACCAAGAACAGTGATTTGATAAAAAGAACCCACTGCAAAGTCAGTGTGAACAATCTGAGTATGAGATAATAAAACTCCAGAACTCAGGGTATTTCCAATCACTACTATCTAAAACAAGGACAGACAGCAAGGAGGTCTTTGCAGCTATTGTGTATGCAATTCTGTAAGATGACCTCAAATACAGAATGGGAGTGCTACAGAGCCATTACCCACAAATTCTGTATTTCTCAAAAATCATTTACCAAAAGCTATAAAGGAATGACTGAGTCAGTGAAATTTAAATTATTCATGGTAAAACTCTAAAACCTAAAACAAATGATAAGTCTTTCTCTAAAATGCTACCACTATAAATATTTAAAACTTAAACACTTACAATTCATGAAAATTTTGTAAGAGCTATAAAACGCATTTTTAGACAAAATGACATGTACTGCTGAAAGAGTTAAAATTTACTAAACTTCAGTGGGAGTGCAATGAGCCCAGCCACCCTCTCTGCCATCTACACACGAAGCAGAGCTTTTCATAAACAGAGTTCTCACCATTTCTTGCTTTTGGGTTTCACTCAGCTTCTCAGTCAATCTTTCCAAAGCCCTTTTTGTTTCAGCATCCGACCTAAGCAATGAAGAGAAATATTTTAATTTGGCTATTTGAAAAAATCTATACAATTAAAAAAATTACAACATAATATTATTACATAATACTGCAGTGGTTCTCGAATGTTAGCAAACTATGAAATACCTGGAGGGCTTGTTAAAAGCACAGAGTGATGAACCCAACACCCAAAACTTCAGAATCTAATGCTGCAACTGGGCCCAAGAATGTGCATTTCTAGAACTTCCTAGGTGATGCTAATGCTGCATGTCTGCAGACCACACTGTGAGAACCACTGCTGTACTGGAACATCACCTTCCATAAACAAATCGGCCGCAATATCTTCCATTTTAAATTAAGAAGGAAGAGAATGGACGGAGAACAAAACTCTTAATCTCACATCCTCTCCAGCAATTCTCCAGCAGTTCATTATCGAGTTACATCAGGGTATGCTGTCACAAACTCAGCCCTCACTAACGTGTCTCCCATAACCTTTTCCCCACCAAATTAATAACATACAGGATCAACAGTAAAATAGCACAGAAAGACTTACAAAGAAAAGCAAAGGCCTTCTTCTCTCACACTTCCTTACCTCGAGTCCATACCTCGCTGGCAACCACACCCAACCATTTCCATTCTTAATTCTTTTGTTGGTACTTCCATCGTATTCAATTCTAGACACTTTCAGTTGACTGCCTGTTTTGCAATACAGGGTCTGGCAGAGAGGGAAGGCTTGCCTGAGTGTGGTTGGTAGGGTATATGAATGCCTCGTATGACATGGACAGCAATTTGAACATTGCACCTAAAATGTCCTATGGTGTGCTTGAGTGTGATAGTGTTATGTTACAGAATCACATGCTTATGGTTTCATAATAAAAGATTTTGTAATAAAAAAGGGGGGTCGTTTGTGCCAGGCCCTGTATTTAACTCACTTCCACTCCTGTCCAATTTTGAATGGACATACTACTATTTTTATCAGTTATCTGTGTGACTTGCATGATATACTTATTATACCTCTTATAAATTATTCCACCATAGAGAATCGATGCTTTTTGCTCATCTTCTGTCACGCGCACATTTTAGTCAGCTTCTTACTTAGATCATTAATGTTCTTGTGCTTTAGTTGTTTTTTTTTAAGGTTTCTCATCTTTTGGCCTTATATGGGTCTTATTTATCACATCATTGATAGGAACATTGGGGTGCATAGTTTCTTTTGAATTGTTCTTTCAGGGTTCTTGGGGCATACTCCCAGCAGTGGAATTGCTGGGTCAAAAGGCAGTTCCACTTTTAGCTTTTTGAGGAAATTCCATACTGTTTTCCACAGTGGCTGTACCAGTCCACACTCCTACCGACAGTGCACTAAAGTTCTTTCTCTATAACCTCGCCAACACTTGTTGTTTGTTGATTTATTTATGATGGCCATTCTCAATGGTGTGAAGTGGCATCTCACTGTGGTTTTAATTTGCATCTCTCTGATGGCTAATGATGCTGAGCATCTTTTCATATGTCTCTTGGCCCTCTGTATGTCCTCCTTGGAGAAGTATTTGTTCAAGTCCTTTGTCCATTTTTTAATTGGGTTGTCTTCCTGGTGTGGAGTCATGTAAGTTCTTTATATTTTTTGGAGATCAAACCCTTGTCCAAGGTATCACCGGCAAATATAATTTCCCATATAGTCAGTTCCCTTTTCATTTTGCTCTTCTCTTTAGCCATACAAAAGCTTTTTAATTTGATGTAGTCCCATTTGTTTATTCTTTCCTTTATATCCCTTGCTCTAGGGGACATATCGGTGAAAACACTGCTGCATGGAATATCTGAAATTTTCCTGCCTATGTTCTCCTCTAGGACTTTTATGGTGTTTATGGTATATTTAAAGCCTTTATCCATCTTGAGTTTATTTTGTGTATGGTGCAAATTGGTGGTCAAGTTTCATGTTTTTGTATGTACCTGTCCGGACCTCCCAACACCATTTCTCGAAGAGGCTATTTTCACTCCATTTTATGCTCCTGCCCCCTTTGTTGAATATTCATTGACCATTGAGACATGGGTGTATTTCTGGGCTCTCTGTTCTGTTCCACTGATCTATGTGTCTGTTCTTATGCCAGTAGCAGACTTTTGATTACAGTAGCCTTGTAATAGAGTTTGATATCAGGTATTGTGACCCCTCCCCCTTCATTCTCAAAATTACTGAGGCTATTTGGGGTCATTTATGGCTTCATATAAATTTTTGAAATGTTTTCCTATATCTGTGAAATATGTCATTGGTATTTTAATAGGGATTGCACTGGATTCATAAATTTTCTAAATCTTTGTATCTCTGAAACTGTCTGTACTTGTACCTCTTTCTTGACTTGTATGGCTCTATGTGCTCCTGGATTCCCCACTCACTAGCTGTTCCTTCTCAGTCCAGTTCCTCTTTGTAATGACTTCCATCTAGTGCAGCGCCTTAGCTCTCAGCCCTGTCCTTGACTCTATCGCCACTGTTTCTCTCTAAATATCCTCCACTTCCATGGCTCCAAATACACTTCTCTATGCTGACCACTCTTAAAATCTCTAGAAGAGACTTCTCCTTCAGGCTTCAAAGTAAACACCTCGCAGGTATTTTACACTTCTACTCGTATGACTCACACGCATCTTAAACCTACAATACCCAGGGTCAAACCCTTAATTTCTACACCTCACCTACTCCCACCAGTGTTCCATATTTCAGAAGCAGAATTACCATCTACCTAGTTACTCAAGTCAGAAATGTGGGAGTCATCTTGGATTTATTCTCCCTTATCCCCTCCACATCCAATCCACTACTAAAACCCGCCTCTTCAATATGCAGAAAACACCTTGAGACACAGCCCTGTCCAACTGCCCCTTGCCATCTCCTGGTCAAGCCATCGTCATTTTTCATATTAATGCAAAAGTCTCCTAACTTGCCCTCCTTGAATCAGTTCTCTATATGGCAACCAAAGTAGGTGAATTCTGATTGAAACTTTATTTATTCCTTTCTAAAAACTTGCTTTCCAGTGTACTTCTTACAATACATGTCAAGAAAAATTTAAAAATTAATAATTAAATGAGCAAATCAACCTTTCTGAATCACACAGAAAGTTAAACCTAGCAACTTCCCTCCAGGGTATTTTTATAAACATGAACTGAAAACTTGCAAAAAATTTTACAAGTAAAGCAGATTTGGATCCTAAAGTCTTCCTCATCTACAAAGTTAAGCCACCAAGTTTCACAAGAAATTTGACTCCTATTTTGGGTTAAATAATGTTTCTCTTCCTCATACATACCAACAGGTCACACAAACGATTACTAAACGGTGCCAGCCTATGGATCAGAAGATTTCCAGTCCACCATTGCACACGTAAATGTCCATTTAAACTAATCAACTAAGTCATCCCTGCAACTTCCCCTGCATCTTCTTACAGGACAACCATTTCCTAAACTCATGTTCCTGGTGCCTAATTTATATGCTTCCTTCAAGTGTGTAAAAGCTACGTAATAAAGCCACTCCAGCAACACATTGTATCAGAATATTGATGCCGTTCTGTTGACTTTATCAACTTGTCAAAAAGAAATATGTATTACATTAACCCTTATCGGTTTAAAACATTTAAAATATAGCTTAATGATATAACTCAAAATGCAGGGATTGAAACGCCTTATTCATATCAGGTACATATGAACACGATACTGAAGCACAGTGGAAAGAGCACTCTGGGGCCTTCCTGCCTAGATTTGAATTCTGACTTCATCACGTCCCCCTGTTTCATCTCCAGGAAACTGAGTTATTCCATCTCTCTGTGCCCATTTTCACATCCAAAAAATGGAGAAAATAATAATGATAACCTCATTAGGGTTGTCGCTAGAATTAAACCTAAAGCTATCTGGCATGAAATAGGTGTTCAATAATATTAACTAGAAGTAGCAGTAATAATAGCATTAGTTAGGTCTTTAATTCTTATTACTGAATTTCCTGCCTTTTTCATATAAAAGCAGTTGAGTTACACAGAATATAGTTTATAGTCATAGATTTAACAGTTATAGTTTTGATTCTTTTGCTATAGCAACCCCAAACTGGTATGTGGAATGATTTCATTAGCTGGAGCAGGAGTTAGCAAGTGAACTTGGTAAACAAATTTCAATTCAGCTTCGCTGTTCCATAATCATTGCTGCACACAGACTGTGTGCAGCAATGATTATGAGAAGGGATATAAAATCTTTGCTTTTTTGTAAAAAGATGGCCTCCAAATGAAAGCCAACTGTCATGGCTCATGATAAACAAAAAAGACAATGAAGAAACTTTAAATAAAAGTGATACTTCTTAGGCACTACCAGGAACTGAAAAACATTACAAATACTGAGCAGATATAATAAACCACTGGCTTTTGAAGATTTCCACTAAAAGCTAAAATATCAAATTCTACAATGGGTTATGTCCATCAATCAACAAATTCTAATTGTGCCGTTTATTTTAAAGCTCCATTGTCAATCAGGTGGTCTCTGTGCCTGTCTGTCTGTCTCTTGCTCCAATGTATCTATAAATCTACCTCTTTGCACCTGGCTGGCATAGTTCAGTGGATTGAGCATGGGCTGTGAACCAAAGTATAGCAGGTTTGATTCCCAGCCAGGGCACATGCCAGGGTTGCAGGCCACAGCCCCCAGCAACCGCACATTCATGTTTCTCTCTCTCTCTCTCTTTCTTCCTCCCTTCCCTCTCTAAAAATAAATAAATAAATCTTAAAAAAAAAAAAGATGGACTAAAAGCAAAAAAAAGAGAAACTCTACCTCTTTGCTAAGATCTTACTATGTAGCCCTGACTGGCGAAGCTTAGTGGATTGAGCGCGGGCTGCGAACCAAAGTTTCGCAGGTTCGATTCCCAGTCAGGGTACATGCCTGGGTTGCAGGCCATGACCCCCAGCAACCGCACATTGATGTTTCTCTCTCTTTCTCTTTCTCCCTCCCTTCCCTCTCTAGAAATAAATAAATAAAATCTTAAAAAAAAAAAAAAGATCTTACTATGTATGTCTCCTCAATGTCAGCCATTGTAATAAGTTAAAGTGTTTTTAAAAATATGAAATTGTCTTAACATTGAGTCATAATACATTCTAAATTCAAAGGGTCTTGAGCTATTCTAGTAATAAATTTTAAAATACTGCTATAAAAACACAGTAGTTTTTTAATTCATGTAAACATGTCAATTACAGAACCTATATTTTTATTCTAATAATTCACGCCTCCAGTGAAAACCATATTTTACTTTTACCTGCTTCTTCTGGCAATTTCCCGGTTGAAATCGTCTCCAAGGCGAACTTGTTCACTGCTGAGGTCTCGGAGGGACTGATGAAAAGCATGAAGCTAGAAAAGGCAAAACATAGGTACCCATTTAGGGTTCTGTGGAATTCTGCCATGAAGATTCACTGAGGGTAAAAATAAAAACTTGCTCTTTGTAATAATACCCAAATTTCACAATATTATTCATACCGAATAAAATTAATGTCTACTCCAAATGTAATTTTTCCAAAAAACATTTTTTTAAAAATATATAACATTAACCAACACATTTCTACAGTACAATAATTCTACTCCATATAGATACCCCAGAAAAGGGATCAGCAAACCTTTTTTGTAAAGGATACAGTAGCAAATATTTCAGGTTTTCCAGCTATATGGTCTCTACCACAATCATTCAACTCTCCTATTATAGCACAAAAGTAGCCATAACCAAATGAACATGACTGTGTTACAACAGAACTTGATTCCCGTAGACCACACACACTGCAGTGTGCCAATCCATGCTGCAGAGAAACTCCTGCCCGTCTGAACCACGAGCCATGTAAAAGAATGTTCGGGGCAGTGTTGTTCATAATGAGAACACTAAAAACAAAAATCCATTAAAGACACAATGGAAGTAAATAAACTGCAGAATATTCCTCCAGTAGCACTTCACACAAGCAGTGAAAATGAAATGACCAAAACTACCTACACATTAGTAACACTGAATGTCAAAAACATACATCAAATGGAAAAAGCAAGTTACAAAAGAAAGTCTACAGTATTATTCCAATTATATGTAGTTTAAAATCAGGTAATACTAAACATTAGTGGTAAAAATGATTTTTAAAAAAGGCAAGATAATGATTAACATAAACATCAAGACGGTTGATAGCACTTGGAGAAAGGAGGAATAGGAAAGAGGCTTTGGGCGTACACTAATGATTTATTTCTTGGCCTCGGTGGTGGTTACGTGGATTTTCATTCATATTATTGTACTGTTAATTATAAATATTTCTCTGTATATGTATCTATATATGCTATCATTTATAATAAAAGATTTTCAGTTACATAGACTTGCAGACATAACAAATTGATTCGTTTCAACAAATGCACGCTGAGCAATCAGTGCCAACAACAGGGCTGGGAAACACACGGCTCGAGATGTAACACGGGAGACAGAGAAGTTAACAAAACCGCAAAGGTGGCACTGGGGCATTAACAAGCACACGGTCATGTGAAGTTAAGGCCATCTTAAGAAAATAGAGTTAAAATAGAGAAGAATGATTAAAGGGAAAGGAGTGGAGGTAAAACAGACTATTCACTTGGGTTTTCCCATCATGATTTCCCATTTTACATACCGGAATGCTAGGATTCATCGTGGACACCCCCATTTCATTCATTCCCACCCTCCCCAAATGGTCATCTAATCTTCAAGACCTTTCATTTCATCCCCCAAATAGCTTTCAAATCTATCCCTCTTCTTTCAAACTCCATTTCTCCCAATCCAAGTAACCAGCATCTCATACCCAGAATGCAGCAGTATCTTCCCAACGGTTTGCCCACACTGGCTCTCCATTTTCTGCACAGGAGCCAGAGTGATTTTTCTCAAAATAGTTGTCACTCCCTTACAAGGCTGTGCATGGGCTCAGTGCTTCATATTTCTTTAGCTACATGGCCTTCTTTAATTTACTCATAGGTGTATTCTCCTTCCTGCCAAGGTATTTGTTCTACCTTGAATGACTCTTACTCAACCTTTGTGTCTCAGTTCAGCCATTCATTCTTCCAGAAGCCTTCCCTGAGTGGAGCAAGTCCCTCTGCTACATATTTCCGTAGCCTTGTGCTTGTGCTTCTTTCTGTTAGAGCACACATCTCCGCACATAATTAAGGATGTGTTTATGCACTTATTTGATTAATATCTAGCTCCTACTCTAGATTATAAATTCCTAGAAAAGGCAAAGTTTCTGCTCATCACTGTTTCCAAGCCCTTTCCCAGGAGAGAAGAACTAAACTAATACAATGAGACAGTAACTGAGTAGGATATTGTTCCCTACTCTAGGTTTTATCATATTGTTCATGCTAGCAAGTTACAACTACCAAAAAAATAACATAGTCAAGGAAATGTTTCTACAAGGTGCCTTCTAATGCACTTGGTTCTGTTGTCTCTTTATCTTACGCTGTAACAAGTGACAGCTACAGATGAGTATCCTAACCACCTTTGAACCCTGAGTCCTAAAACTACCGAAACAAAGAGGTCAAAGTCAGCAATATCCCCTAGCCCTTATCTAATTAATTTAGCTACCCAAGGCAACAATGTCTATTCAGCTCTTGCACAGAAATTTAAAGAAAAAGAAAAAGAAAAATGTCCACAGAATACTTCTGAAATCTTTAGTGAATACATAGAAAAAAAAGATGGAATTTCTCATTCAATAGAAAGTGGCTCCAGTAATGATTCAACAACCAAAAAAACATAAATGGGAAAATCGATAGGTTAACCACACAAGGACTAACTTGTACTAAACCACACTTAGCAAAATAGGAAGTGACTTAGCTGACTTAGCAAGGCTTACAGAAGAGTGAGCCACCTGAACAAGGAAACACAACATATCCAAATAAACTCACTTAAAATCGTTCCACAAAATATAATCCTCCATAACAAAATTTGAAATAAACACATGATGATGATTAGCACATTGAAAATAAAATAGTTTACTTGGTTTTTAAGAAATTAGTACAAAGTTACTGATGATGAAACTCATGGTTAACATATAGCCATAAAATTCAAGTGTCAGTCATACATATAGTTTAAATAGAAATGTAAGGAACACAGATTACAAACTGACACAAAGTACCTGGCCCACGTCATCAGTCTCTCGAACAAATCGGACACCAGTTCTGGATCTAATTCGTTTACTACCCTGTTGATCCCCATAGTCCTTCAGAGGTGAGGTAGGTGGAAAACGGTGGCTCTCTTTACAAACGAAGGAAAGGGAAGAGGATAAAAACACTGCATGAGAGGAAAGAATCTAAAACGTTACTCAGTAAATACATAGCAGACATGCACATACACATGTGCTCGTACCCCAGACTATGTCCCAAGCATGTTACTGTGGCCATAACACTCTATGAAATTGGCACTAATCTTGCTCTTTAAGCTGATAAATGAACAGAAATAAGCTGGAAACAGAACATGTGAAAAGTTATAATTTGCTATACTTTTCAAAGAAGCCATATATTTTCTTATATAAAAATAACTGCTAAATAAAAATAACTTTTATGACTCCCTAAAACAATACTAACAGAATTTTTCAAACAATAAATCAATTCATCTAAATTATAAATGGCATTTACAAATCAATAAAAACTACATACAAAAGAGTCGATCGTGTCCAATTTGTAATACTTATCATCACGATCAATAGCCATACTAATAATGGCAGCTACTAATGTTCACTCTATCTGAATCCCCTGCCTTCCCTGCAGATTTTCCTATTCTTTTCTGTTCTAAGTCTTTTTTATTCAGACATAAACCCCAGTGCTGCAGATAAGTAAAAGTATGATTAATTACAGGCAAACTAAGTGTTTTTACCTTTAAGCTAGCCAATGGATTCTAGCTGCACACCAAGGATAAAGTTCACCTGTTCTTAACAAGTGACGTAGGATATTTTATAATCAGATATTTGAAAAACTATGAAACTAGAACTTCTAATCTATAAAATGTACACGTAGTAAATCCCATTTTTGTGTTTGTTTTGATTAATGGCAGGGGCTTAAATCCAAGTTTTGCCAGGTAAAGTTCCGTGTGGTCTACGGCAGCGGTCCCCAACCTTTTTGGCACCAGGGACAGGCTTCGTAGAAGACAATTTTTCCACAGACAGAGGTAAGGAGGGGAAGGACAGGAGGAGGAACTCAGGTGGTAATTCAAGCAAAGCTCACTGGCTGGCCTGCTGATCACCTCCTGCCATGTTACCCGGTTCCCAACAGACCATGGACTGGTACCAGTCCAAAGCCCTGGGTTGGGGACCCCTGGTCTGAGGAGTTCAAACACCAAAAGTAAGACTCATAATAACAGAGTTCTAGTAAACATGTTTTTAATACTCACTATAAAATCCTTGACTGCATCTTTTAATGTTTATTTGTATGCTTTTATGTGTGGATTATACATATCCAAAGATTAAATATAATCACTATGTACTTCAGGGATTTTTTTTTAATGAAAAAAGGTTTTCAGAACATCTGTAGAGTTTACCTGTCACAGTGCCACCATCAAAGTCACTTGCACTCAGACTTGTAACAGAAATACTTCTCCCTCCTGAGCTTCTCAATAAACGTTGACTTCGCAGTTGGCCTACTGACTGTTCCAAGCTTTCTTTTAACTAAATTAAAGGACATAATGAAGGGAGATTTATTCTCTTTGAACAACTTTCAAATACGAACAAACTAGACATTTTTAAAGCTTTTTTCTAAAAATATCTCCCAAAGAGAATTTATATCAGAGAAAATGTTGAACTAAGTTTTGTGAGGGAATATAAAAATAGTGAGAATAAATATTTTAAGAACCGATTCTAACATCTGGTTATAAACAGCATCTGTCACTGACTCTTCCATCTTCTCATTACCAGAATGCAGAAGGCCTGTCTCCTGAGCTCCCAGAACCAGACCGCAACGTCTAACTGACGTGCCACCCATGCTTAGAAACACAACGAGGTCGGCATACCTGAAAAGAGGGAAAGCCTTCCTCCTGTCTAAACATTCCTTCAGAAACCCAAATCCGAAACAAACAGGAAACTGAAGAGCTGTCGCAGGGACTGCTGCTACTCAAACAATGTGAACTGCCCGAATCTGCACTGGAACATCTTTCATTCATTCAAAGACTTCAGATCCCAGGGAACTATGTGGTCTGATGTCAGATCGTCAGTACATACTAGAGGTAATAGTTCTCCAAATGCTCTCTTCAGGTTATTAGGGAGTCGGCCAGCAGCGGATATAAGAAGATATCTTTTTAGACCTAAAGAGCTACATTACATAAAAACATGCTAAGTACTCAAATAATGTCCAGATTTATACACAGATTCAATGTCCAGATTTATGTCCAGATTTATTTATCTGAAAAGAGGATGAAGCTAAAACCCAAGGGAACAAAGGGTAAAGCTGAGAAAAATCCACATACCCTGAATTGCTAAAAAACTTCAGGTCCAGATATCTTATCCAAGGGTAAATAAAAAGTAATGTTAACAAAAATAATTCTATGAAGAACAAGTCATCTATAACTGGTTAAGGAGAATGTCAAAACAAAACCATTGATTGAGAGGGTTTCCCAAAGGCAGACCGAACTAAAAGGTAGAGAACATCACTATGGGGACAGCATGTTAATCCCCTTGGGAAACTGTGCAGAAAGATACAGCTTCAGTTGAAGTGAAAGCACAGATGAAAAAATGTGAACCACAGTGAACAAATCCTTTTTCATTTTGGTTGTTTGGATTTAGCTCTTATAAAGAATCAAGGCTAAAACAGTCTGGATTAAAAGAAATAGAGTTAGAATTTCAGGAATGTACTTTAATGGTTCCTCTCATTTCTTTAAAAAAAAAAAAGGCTAAAGGCTAATACTTCTACATCCTCTGCCCTCCTGCTTCCCTAAGTTGGAAGATGTGCAATATCAACCTGCTTGACTGTTCACAACTGTAGGACCCAACCTATCATCCAGGGAAACATACAGATGAGGCCAGGGAGAGCAACATCTGCCATTACACCGACCAGACGTCCTACACAAAGAACACAGTAACTGTGTATATTAGCAATCTATGACAAAGGCTCATGATAAAATTAAACAATGTTAAAGCTAAAAATTTTAATCTGTAACATGAGAAAAGGGCTAGAAATGGAAAATGATTTTAGATCGCGCACGTTAATGACAGCTCCAGCTCTATTAACTTTTCCTGCGTTCATCTTTATCAGTCACATATTACAAGCTAACCCTGATGTCACTATTCTTTTGGAAGCAAAGTCAGCTGTCAATTCCTATTATTGCTTCTTTTGAAGGCAATCTGCCTTTTTTATCTCTGGCTATTTTTACGATTTTCTCTTTGACTCTGATTGTCAATGGTTTTACTAAGATCTGACTATGTATAGTTTTATATGCAGTTACCCCATTTTTGACTCAGAGATCCTTAAACCTGCAGCTTGATATCTTTTGTGTGTTGCACATTCTCAGCCACCATCTTTTCAAACACTGTTGAAGCCCCTCCTCTCTCCCTTCTCCTTCTAAAAGTCCAGCTGCATTTATGTTACAGCTTTTTACCATACGTTTTCCTTGCGCTTCTATGTTGTTTACTCTTTCATTGTATCATTCTTTTTGGACAACAGATGCTGCCCAACCTTTCAATTGAAAATTCTCTCTTTAACTGTATACCAAATGTTTAATCCACCAGCTGAGAATTTTAATTAATTGATTTGTTTAGCTATATTTTTCAGTTTCTGAAATTTTCTTTCGATTCTTTTTTACAGTTTCTAATTCTTTGTCAAAATTCTCAATATGTCTTTTAATTTCTTGAGCAGATTAATCATAGTTATTTTATAATCCCATGTATCTTTGTACTGTCTGTTGTTTCCCTTGCTTTTCAGTCACCTAATGTTTTATGACTGGGTATTTTTTTATCAGGTGATAGACATAATACATGAAAAATTGTAGAGATCATTTAAAGCTCTGGATGATGACATCTTCCTCAAGGAAAGATTTGGTTTTGCTACTAGCAGAAAGTCAGGCTGGGCTCACTAGGACTCCCAAATCGCCTCATCCAATTAGGAATTAAGATGACTCAAAGTTGGACTTCTGTCCCTGCTAGGGCCAGTCTATTATCAGTTTATCACTTCTCTTATTTTCAGTTCTCCATTTCTCCTAGTCAATCGCCATCTGAGTCTCTGTTGAAAGCTGGAGGGTTGCTGAACTCCAGTTTTGATCTCCCTCGCCTTTTGGGTCTATTGATCGCTCTGATCTTAGCCTCTCCGCTTCTAGCCTCTTCTGGAATCAGCTACTGCCCCGATGGAAGAAAGGAGTTCCAAATGCAGGACTTCATTCTGCTGCACTCCCATTTATGCCAGATTTTTATCACAAAATTCCTCACTGTTTTGGTTGGTCTCCGATGGGTTCATAATATTATTTTTTTACTTTACTTTTTTTTTTGCCTTTCTAGTTGATCAGAGTTAAGAGTTGATGCAAAATAATCCTATCTACCAATGCCAGAAGTAGAGCATGCCAGCATCCTTTTTATGTAGGCTTATTTGCTAACAAATCCTGAGCTGTAACTAAAAGCTGATGAACAGAACAAACTTACACACAGAGACGTACACACTCACACAATCCCTGCTAACAAAAAGAAAAAAGAAGCCACCACAGAACATATGGAAAAACACTGCAGAACAAGAGAAATGATATATATTACCCCAAAATATAGGAGAAATAACAGATGTTGAAAATAAGTCATTTCAAAAATAAGATAAAGAGACACTATTTGGCAACTTCACTTTGAAACTTTAAAAATATACAACTACATCATTAGCCACTGAACAGATGAACGGGATGATAAAAACCAAAATATAAAATGTGAAAAGTAAACAAGTGGGATAAAGTTTCTTTTCCTTTTTTTTATTCTATCACTACTTATCCCCTCATACCCTCCTCTGCCACCTCCTCTCCCCTTTTCCCTCTGGTAATTACCATACTATTGTCTGTGTCTATAAGGATTGTTGTTTTTGTTTTTTTGTTTTTTGCTTAATCTCTTCACCTTTTTCACCCAGCCCTGCAATGCCCCGCCCCTCTGACAACTCTCCGTCTGTTCTCTGTATGTATGAGTCTGTGTCTATTTGTTTGTTAGCTTATCTTGTTTATTAGATTCCACATATGAATGAAATAATACGGTATTTAACTTTCTCTGACTGGCTTATTTCACTTGCATAATGTTTTCCTGGTCCTTCCATGCTGTGGCAAAAGGTAAGATGCCCTTCTTTTTTATAGCCAAGTAGTATTCCATTGTGTAAATGTCCCACAGTAAAGTTTTTTCTAACATTTTTATAAATGTCATGGCAAAAACATGTCCTTCACCTCAAATACAAAACTAAAAATGTAACATTTAAAATATACCCTTAGAGTAGCAATAACACGACACTGCACAAAATGTAATCATGATGTATGAAGTCAATCTGGTCATTCTTACAACACAAAGAGATAAGGAGGTAAGATGTAAAATAATAAAAGTGGTTTTGAAATATTGTAGGACTATAACTTCCAAACAGGTGCAAAAACAAACCAAATTTAAAATTAACTGAAAACAAAACACATTAATAACACGCAATTTAACATTAAGTTAGTGTGTTATGTTGCTGAAACTAAATCAATGCTCCGCACAAGACTGAGGTACAGATTGCAGGGACAGATTCTCAAGAGTCTCGTGTTTCAACATCACCACGTACCACGTGATGATTCCATCTCCCCACCTTTTCCCACATCTGAAATACTGTAAAACCAGCATCAGAGGACATGCAATGACCTATGTTCACAACTTGATATAAATGTATCACTTACATATTAGGTCTATTCTTTTATCTCTGTTCATTTGATATTAGGCTAAGACAACTGAAGCATTACTACTATGTGCCAGTACAAACAAAACTTAGGCACTGAAATTGAACTGTAATACCTGTTTATAAGGTGGTTATCCAAATTGCCAAGACATGCTTTTAAACTCAGAAGTCAAGCTCAGTAGGCTCCCTCTATCCAGAGAAGAAATAACTTGAACATCAACGGATTAAAATGTATAAAAACACTTCAAATATGCATAATATGCAAGTTAATAATACTCAAGGAGAAAAAAAGTCATTTGGCCACCATTAGAAAATGCTAGGGAACCAACTAGATTATGGAAGCTAGCAAATAAATGAATTTCTTAAAAACTACATAAGCTTTTAGACGAACACTGAAATAAAAATACCAAATTTTAAAATGCTCATAGAGATGTCTGAAAGCCCTGCAATTTCTCTATTTGAAAAAGTCTGATTAGACACAAAATATAAGTCAAGCTCAATGCATTTTTTTTTTAAGTTTATAACTCAAAAGGACTGACTACATCGCGAACCAAATCTACAAAAGGAGACCCCCCCCATGCAGCCAAGGGCACCTCAGACAAGAGATGCGGTCGTTAAAAACATGCTTCACGAGGACCAGAGACAAGCCTGGCAATGCTTTCCTCCGCTGCCCTACTCTCTCTTCTGCTTTGGCTCCTTTCCGCATCCTTCACACTGGATCAGATCACAGCTTTCACAAGTGCTTTATTTTGAGGATGAAATAAAATGATGTACATAAAATAGTTAGAACAATGTCTAG